GAAAGTTTTTACGTGGGGATGGTGGCATGCGAATGGCTTTCGTTGTTCAACAGTGGCGAAGTTGAATCAAACAGTAATGTAGTTTTGTCGACAAAATATTACCTGCACAATTAGAGATATCACAGCGATGTTTAACGTTTCTACGTTATGCCATCTTCAAAAACATCTCGTTGAATCGATGTGGGCCGGATTCAGGGTCAGGTATTATGGGACAATAGGTAGGAGATTACCAATGAACTAATTGGAGAGATAAATAATAAGTTGATTACAATAATAAGTGTGACATAGGCAATGTTGATGAGGTGAATTGGAGAAATAAACATTAAGGTGATGACAAAGATGGCAATAAATAATAGATGATAATAAAGTACAATGTAGTGATATCTGAGTTGTTAAGTTGATGAGATAAATAAGTTAGAAAATACAAGGGACGATAGGTATAACTTCTCAACTCTTTGTATTGGAAAATTCCATGCGTAGAAAGCTAACTCGCGAATACTGTAGAGATAGCGGCTTACCTATAAATCTAGTAATCACCACAACACCTAACCTCAAAAGAATATTAACCAAATCAAGATAATATGATCAAACGTACTCAACGAAAAAGTGCATAATATGTCCAAAAAATTATGAAGGAGCATGCAGCAATACTGCATGTGTTTACAAGAATTCATATGAATGTGCTCAATTCTATATCGGAGGATCTGGAAGACCCGTTCACATTCTCATCACTGAGCACCTAAGAGCGCTTGAATATCCGCACACCAAATCGTATATAAGCACATCCATGGCCAAACACAAAACTGCACACCACACAGACTCTCTTTCCAATTTAGCACTTGAAATTCTCGCGCACTTTAACGTTATGCACAGCACTCAGTCTAAAAATCTTAATTGCATTTCGGTTATCTTAACCAATCTCATTTCCAACGCAACTTCTGTGTTATATCTGATTTCAAGATTGAACTAATTCTGTAAGAAACATTTTAATGATTATGTTGAATTCATTCTCAACAGCCATCGATTCGAGCAAACGATCGATGTGAAGATGAACGGTGTCGGAAATATTTGCTTTTATCCGATAAAATCGACAAAGAAAGCACCAAAATCCCGAATAATTTATCACCGTAGCCGACATAAGTCGGTAGCAGACAGCCGACTGAAATTTTTCAGGCAACTGTCAAGGATACTGCAAATCTATATTGGAAATTGGCGTGAAAAGAAACAGCGGTACGGCATAAAGTTGGTCACAATAACACCTCAGAAGGTAGGCCAATAATAAAATGAAAGAGGAAAGCCAGCAAAACAAAATGAATGTTACAACATATTTGTAAATATCATTCACAATACTACAAACTCAACTATCCCTTATAGCAATATTTTCAACCGTACACATTTCCCTTCCCAAATTTATTTCCTTGCCAAGGCTGTTAGGCGTTTTTGGCGGAGGAGAAACCTAATAGGATTAAAACCTTTCAAACGACTGAACCGTAAGCTTCAAACATCTATATATTGCTTCAAACATAAATTGAATTATGAAAATAATCTGGCTAAACATACTATCGTTAAAAAATTTTATAGATGTGCCTGTTTGCGTTCCTGATCGGAACTGTTTGTGATGTTGACTGTGTTGCTGGTGCGAAGGCGACAATTAATATAAGGTTATNATGCAAAGCACTATAAAGAGACACACAAGAAACCGCAACAATAAATAAGAGATCACCGGTTTATCCCAACATCATCCTTCAGTGCCAACGATATGTAGGCAGATTATCTGTAAACTATGTTTGTCCACTTCTAGAATACGCCTCATCTCTTTGGTCCCCCTGTGATCCACACAGGGATATACAGGATGTTAATACAATTGAAAATGTTCAAAGAAGATACACCCATTACATCTTCAAGAGACATTGTGGAGATTTTCAGACTAACAATATTAGGATTAGAAAGTTTAGAACTGCGAGGATTTTATATAGATTTTTGTATGGCCTACAACATCATTCAGCACCAGGTCGATCTCCCAATGAATGAATTCTTCGAATATTCCCCAAGCATTGAACGAACTAGCCATAACAATTCCTTTCAACTCGCTGTCAAACGCTGCAAACTAAACAGTGCAAAATTCTCCTTCACTCACAGAGTCGTTCGAGCCTGGTTCAATCTACTCCCCCAAAATATTGCCTCCTTCAAATCGCTCCAATCATTTAAATGCAGACTCTGATCTATTCCACCTTAAGGAATCGGATTTATGTCTTTCTGAAATCCTGATAAGCAGTTAGCATGAGCAAATCGTAAAATGTTGATGGATCTCATTCCCTTTGTTCTTTGCTGTTGCAGTTATGAGATATGCCGTTGTATATAACTTCTCAATTCTATTATGCGAAAAAAAAATGTTATGTTGTATCACGATATGTTACAGACGCTGTGTAATAGTCTGATTTGCTGATATGATGTCACTGCCATTGTATGATAATACAGTTAAATTGTTATTCTCTTCTGCCTCTTTTACGATCCTTTCATCCTCCCCAGCAATTTTCGGGGCAGTGCATTCGCTACACAGTAATATTTTGTACTGAACTAGGTTATACATATTGTCATGCGAATAAATATTATTATTATAATTATTATGATTCAACAAGTTTCATTGCATTAAAACATTCAATGTGAAATCGGCTAATTGTTAGATAATAATTCAATTAGACCGTCGAGTTGTGTATGCACATCTGTTGCCCATTTGTCGAGCTGGTTCAAGTAGATATGAGATGATGCATCTATTTTGTTTGTCATAGCCTCGATTTCTCCATTCCATTTCTTCTCCCAATCCTCGAAACTGTCCGAGCAAACACGAGATGTTGTATCTACTTTTCCAGCCATAGTTTCGAGTTTTACATCCAATGTCTTTTCGAAATCCTTGAGGTCGTTCGTGCAGGGATGAGATGTCGAAGAATTGTGAGTGTTTCTATTAGGATCGGATGTTGATGGTTTCGTATTGTATCGGTAATCATATGATGTTGAAGGTGTTGGATTGTATTGGTAAGGATATGATG